AGCCGAAGATTTGACATTAGCAATGAAGCGGTCACATTTAGACGTACCTTCATAAGAGATCTAAACCAATGTCATGACCTTACGATCGATACCCCTCGGGGAGGTCATATGACGAACGCATATGAATCAGCACTTTTATGCACATAAACCAGCATTCCGTTTTGAAAGCGAAGCATATAGAAGGCGCCTGGTGTTTATTTTCAACTCTTCTAGCATTTCTAGCGGTTTTACATTGATAAGCGTTTAGCGTATTACCGTAGCTTCTTTCACATAGACGCTGCAACTTTCGAAATCATATACGTTTATCACATTCCTTATCGCGAATCGGCATTCCTCGGTCTCTGTACGCTTGCCGCAAAACTAGTGGCGAACTATCCGTCTTGAACGGGCAACCGACTTTCATATTCCACACGGCCGGGTCCTGCATACGGGCGGGGACGTTCGTTCGTTTTCAACTTCCTATACAGTAGAGTGCAACCTGAATAGGGAGCGTACAATGAGTGAGGAATTCCATACTGAGGATAGTGATATTTCATGGCCAGGCCCACCCATCCCGGGAAAACATACCGCGATGCTTCTGGGATATTCGTACCTAAAACTCATATGATCGTCTGACTAATTTCGTGAAATAGATCAGCAGTTGAGTCTCAAAAGTTCTCCAAGAAGGAGTTGGATTTCACTAGACGTGATGAATCCGCGAGTAATGAGGAGGCCGTTATTCTCGCAACAATTAGTCCTAACACCCACTGTCCAGATAGTCAATTTTTCCACATTCAGGTAACACTTGAGGAAGATTTCTCATCCCCGTTGAGAATTCGCCGGAGTGAGACTGTGTACCGTTCAAAACTCCAGCGGCACGGACGATTGAACGGCGATCAAAGTTAGATCAGATCGTCCATATAACTGGTAAAGCAGGACTCTCGGCCCCTGCCGTGATTAGCGCCTGGATATCAGGAACGCGTTTAATGGCTACCAGAGGTTACACATGCCTAACAATAGGGATTAAGATCCAGAGTTATGAAGGAGATATAGTCTTTGCTCGTTGCGTAAATCCAATATATAACCAAGAATTCTACCATTCCACCGATGTTAGCAAGTAGTGTAAGTGAACAGAAAGGTAAGTATGCGGATAACCGTTGCGAAGCATGGTTATAGGCGAAGGGACCAGGGTCGCTCTAAAAGTCAATCAGGACAACAGTTCCACTTCTGTGTATCACGAGTTCTGACTCAGGGTGGGTGGATCCGTGATCTAGAAATCATATCTGATGATCATTGTAGCTTCAGCCTTCAAGAATCAAAGGTCGCCGAGCTACATACGAGATCACCGAAGCAACGTTGCCCTGTATGGAGCTGATATCGCATATCCTGCATTCCACACGTTCTGAAACATGCTAGAAGGCCGGTACATCTTTCCCTCAACCACTGTGAGGGTTGCGCCAGGGGCCTGCCCCAAATGCAAGTAAGAAGCTGTGGAACAAGTGGTGTTGAAGCTAATGACTGATATAAATGTCAAAGTCGAGCATTCGCAGCGGAAGAGATCGAATTTACCCCCGCGTAGTCTCATGACACTTTTCTACAAGTGACGAAAATGTCCGCTACACAATTTCTGGATCGAAGATGCGATAGATTGATTAACCGTGAATTCGGTATCCAATCGTAGAATTGATGAAATCCGTCAAGAAGGTTAGGCCATACCGATATTTAACCGAGTCATAATGGTCCGGATTTGGACTTGAAAGCTCAAGGTGCATTGGCCCAGTCAAAAATAGGTTTAGGAATCGATCTCGTCTTCTCCAAGGAAATCGTACTGTACGAGAGCACAGCATCTTTAGCCCCGAATGGTCTTTCTCGGTAAGACTTTCTCTTTTTACTATATGTATGGTCGCCGGGGTTGGAAATAAACGCGCAGGTCTTGCCGGCTCTTGGAAATCCCATCCGTAAAGGTTAGTAGACTATAGTGGGAACTTCTGCTGTATTCACGTCCGCTGTGCAGGAATAGCTTGTTTATAGAGGGAATGAGTTGGTAAATTCCACCTCACAATCTTGGAGAGTTCTTGAATATGGTGGATCATCAAACAACCTGCAGATTGTCCAGCCAGTGGCTGACTCTGGATTGAATGATACACTGGGGTATCATTCCAAATGAGCCACCCAACAGAGGCTGACGTTGCAATGGCCTCTTCTACCAAACAGATGGGTGTTTGGCCACCAAACTGCAAATGGTCTCGTCTTCATTCAAAAGCTCGCTGGCGTGCTCTTGTTGCCTGCAAGGTCCCACTTCTTCTGGATCTCGCAATCTTTCTGATCCCTTGCAGATATCATAGTTCGTGTAAATTGGCCGTTAGGTCTTGCCACAAGTAAAGCCCGAGTCTAGTGTCTTGATTCGGGTACTTCGGGTAGATATCCACTCAGTCGCGATTTCAACGGCCATTCCAGTACCTTATTTGACCGCGTTCATTGACCGCGTCGTTAAGGGAAACTAGTTGCACTGTTGTACGTTCAAACCCTTTATTAGATTAAGCATCATCCAATCCTGATATTGTCTTTGTAGCAATCTTATCTACAAAAGGAACGAGGTAGCAATTCTCTACTTTTAATGTCAGCCTTCCAGTCAATAACCTGTTAGAAACGTAGGATTTTCGTCACCGCTTCATTGCTTGTTTTGTAAGCACTTTACTGTTAATGCAAAGTAACGTTAGCAACTAATGCAGGTAATAGGTCTCCTCCCTCACCTCAACTTATGCAGGACGAATATCTCAACATTGCTTATCCAACCATGGATAAGGAGACATTACGAATGTGTCAAGACCAATATGGGAACATTGAGTTTCTTGCTCAATCAACTGCCGCGTGTCAAGAACGACGAGATTCGATCGCCTCGACGCAACTGTCCTTTTCATCAACATCTTCTTACTTCTTGGAGCCAGCTCCCCCCACCCCAGTTACGAGATACGAAGATCTTTCCAATGATGTTTCTTTTGTTAAAATCACTGATCCCCGATTATTGGCCGATGGATCGTCTCCTGAGGTGGTGGGCGAAACGACTATTGATGATTATCTTCAAGGTCCATCGTTACCCATTCATACTCGACAGAAAGACAACCCGTATCAACCTCAAGTAGCACCGGGTTGGCCTGTCAGTGTTGAAATAAACGGATTTACGAGATTCTCTCAGGATCGGGTGATGCCCGCATCTGGGGACTTCTCCGCTGCTTTAGAAGCTCAATTACCAACCCAGAATGACGAAAGTATATTCCACGAACACCTTGCAAACTCAATCCCAAGTTCTTGGGATGTCGTGTCCTATGGTCCCTTGAACAGTGCGCACCAACTCCCATCGACCAATGTGGCGAGAACGATGGCTCCCTCCATGGATTCAACTTACCAGTGGACTATGGTACCGTTCGACAATGCGACAATCCCTAGTGTCGAGGAGCAATCGCCTACAGTTGCGCCGTCGGAAACCTCATATACACTGGTTGATGATGAGGCTTACGTCGAGATAGCGCCAGAAAGTCTTCAGGATAGTCACATGTATCGGGAGGACTATTACAGCGAAGTATCCGAATCACCTTTGATGGATAACGCATGCAAGACACCCGAAGAACCAGAAATCAAAGAAGACCCGGACCCTGACTACCTGGGTTTAAATCGGTCCATGTCCACTAGTAGGACAGGAGGGAAGACGATCGTGAAGAAGGAAAGGCGGAAGGGCCGAGTGGGGAAGAAATCCAAAGGTAGACCCACAAAGATATTAAAGAGCTTTATCGGTGAATCTGAAGTGGCCGTTGATATCGATCCCAATTTGTGGATACTTCCAGATGGTTCATGGGGACCTCAAGATGGCCCAACAGCCAAGCAGGGGTGTAGGTTTGTGGGTCCTAATGGCCCATGCGGAAAAATGTTTAAACGGGCAGAACATTTGAAGCGTCATTACAAGACCCACAGTGGCACCAAAAGCTTTCGTTGTCCTATTTGTGAGAATTGCTTCGGTCGAAATGATAACAAGAACCAACATTACAAGACGCACATAAAACCCACCCGTACCCCACGCAATGATCGCTGGGAACACGAAATAATGTTTAAGAAACTAAGAAATGATGCTAAAGAAAATAACGAGAGTTTGGAAGAAGTCGAGAAAGTTATTCAATCTTTGAAAAATTTCATTGCAAATGGATTTGTTTAAAAACAATGAGAGGAAGATTAGTAGGTTGGAATTAGTGTTCTTTTTTCTGCTCGTGAACGGTTGCACCCTGTAGTCATTTTGTCCTATATAGCCTTTTAAGCTTTTGTTGCCGGTATAGGTAAGGCAGTTTATTGTACATCATATGTTGGCGTCGAATTGATTTCACTCAGCTGTATGCTTGTTGGGTAGTCCTGTGGAAGTAATGTAGTCTTGTAGAAGTATAGGACCGTTGAGAACGGACCGGTTGCTTAATCTCGGAGACTGTGATAGCCAGTTGATAATCACGAGAGCACGCGTAAGATGTTGTACAACCTGATCGAAGAGTCGGGTGTGTTGAGTGATAACGGACGTCGTTATATTTAAGCCTTGGCGAATCTCTATATTAGCGAGCGGGATAAGTTCGGCAGTGACTCGGATAGAACTAGTTCCATGCAAAAACAATTGATATTACGCCCTATAGTACTACTTTTACCTCTGGACTTTATGGTGTCATATTATCTGTATCAAGATATTTATAAGAGGCCGTTAGCTCTACTTGCTGCCCTAATATACGACTACTGGCACTGCTGAGAACTCCGGTGAGGTGTAGTAGCTAGTATAAGATAGTAGGCTAATGAGATAACACCAAGGGGTCATGCATACGCTTGAAAAACTGTTATCCAGGCATTGCTAGGAACCCTTGACAAACTTGACGGTGTTTGTACAGTATCAGATGTCATTTGTTCTTCGGTCTATCCACGGTAATGATAATCCGCTTATGGCTCAAAAAAATTATCAATAGAGATTTACTCCACTTTCTAGTCCGACAATGACTGGCCGGGTGGCGCAATGGTAGCGCGTCAGTTTTCGGTTTTCCAAAATTGTTGTTCACTGAAGGTTGAGGGTTCGAGCCCCTTCTCGGTCGTCTCTTTTGCTTCTGAAGGTTTCATTCTTTTGAAATGTTTTTTTTTTGTAGTACGGAGTTTTGGAAAGAGTTGGGAGCGGAACAGAGCGTTCGCCCCACCATTTTGGCCCCCAAGTTTCTGTTGGATTGGATTTGGGGCTCTCCTTTGATATTGTATTTAGCAGAAAACTTACGATTCACTTTGTGGAACCTATCTAATTCTCAGATATAAGTGTTGAAATCATGGTGGGTAGTAGTTTGTACCTAGTTGCTGCGGTATAAGGCTCTACAGGTACTTGTATAATCTTGCAGGTTAAACATTTCTATGAACCAAGATGAATCAACGGATGGTTGAAACATCGGAAACCTCATGTACATTCATTATCTCATTCAACCTATATACAGATTCATTATCCTTCAACCTCACATTACCACCATTAGACCAATGTAATTATAGTACTAAGATTCGTCTCCAAAAGAAAGACCGAAAGAACCGATAGGCAAACGAAACGGTACCAGACAGAATTCGGTTGCCAGTAGTCTCTAAAAGGGAGATATGAGGAGCGTGAGGCGAACGACAGTCGGGAACAGATTGCATAGCCCTTTTGTTACTGAGACCATCATCGGAAATTATATAGATCCATCACCCAATTTTTGATGCTAACAGGCATTGATGGGTATGCAAGTGAATAACGCCGGAAGAAAATGACTTGGAATCGGAGCGTGCTTAACCTAGCTGGATAAGCTACCAAGTATATATGCTGATGATACAAGGATGGGTATCTCGAAGGTAACTTTGGCAAAGAGGAACCATTGAAAGGGCTAAAGTCGAAAGTATTCAGGCGACATAAGAATGAGTTAGAAAAACCAGGTTTGAAGGTCACACTACCGCCGAAAACCCGATTTATGGTTTAAGGGAGATGTGTAATTGGGTACTGCCCGAATTGGTTTGCGAATACGACCTCCTCTGACAGCTGGAGTCTGACCAGTGCAAAATATACACACATAAACGGGTGGTATATTTTGCTCAGTGATTCCAACACATTTACCGTGTAACCACTTCACGCATGATTCGCACTGAATCATCATTCCTCCCCCATCTACAGAGTTGCACACGCAGCGAGTACTTTCCGTAGACAGACTGCTGCGATCTGTAGTCGGTGTGCTAATATCATGTTCGATCATTGACATTGGTGATATAGTATTTGAATGTGAAAAAGGTTCGAACGGAAGCTGTTGTCTGGGACCCAGCTGAGCCAAATCCGCAGAAGCTCGAGCCCATCTTTGGTTGTGAGCAAATAACGTACCCTGTGCCTCATGCTGCTCTTTCTGCTCTACACGGCATTAGTGACAGTATAGATAACAACATAATCGGGACTCACGTTGTACTTTCGCTCGATCCTCTTTTAATTTTTTAAGTGCGAACTGTGCATTATCTCCGGAATTCGAGGTAAAAGAAAAGTCCTGAGACGGGATCCCATCACCTTCACTAGTGAAGCTGTTAAAATTAATCATACTATGCCTTCTAAACGCATTGGCATTCTCGGTACGTGTTGTAGAGGGTTGTTCCAAAAGGTTTCCTAATCCTTTTCGAGCACTATTATGGATGCTTCTCAAAGATGTGGAAGATGAGGGTCTTGATAACCGGGAAGAATTTGAGCGATTAGGGCCATTGTCCAATCTAAAATGGTTTAAGCGATGGGAATCCTTGTTGGGAATGGTGAACGAGCTGTGTTGGTTCGCGATATGTATACTTGTATCAGAGTCCGTATCATTTCCATCCTCATCCCAGAGCCCTGACTGTCTAGAATGTGCTCTTGGATTATCAATAGGAGGTGGTATTGTCTCAGTTCTCGCATGTCCAGACTCGTCAACCACAAGTCGTGTTCTAGATCTGAAACTACTTGTTTCGGGAATCGAAGTTAGTGAGGCCCGGCTCGCTCGTTTCAACGGAGAAGATCTCCGTGGAATATGCCCAAAGCCAAGGCTTTGTGATATAGACAGTGAATCCGTCATGCTATGTCGTTTCGAAATTCCGGCATCCGTGTTACTTCGTTGCGGGCCAGGTCTTATGTTCACCATTGATGAAGAGGAAGAATTAGTACTGGAGCGTGAATGATGCTGTCGTGCTTTTCGCGCCATCTCTTTCTCCCGAAGGGACTCACGAGTTTGGTGCTCGTAAGGTTGGCGGTTCATGTGTACCTCTTTACTTTCCGGCCTTTGAATCTTGCCTGGAGATATTATGCTTGTGTCTACGTTGTCCGAGAAACTGAAAAGCATACTCGGATCTACCCCTGAGCTAGTGGACATGAAAGACGTAGGGCGTGATGGGGCCGAAACTCCTTGTGATGTAGTAGGGCTAGACAACCAATAGGTGTCTTCATTATCCAAACCATCGCCAGCTTGATGTCGACTAGATGAAAAGCTTCCTGTTGTGGTATCATTAAGCCATTCGGATGATGTTTGTGAGTTTTGATTTGTTGCAACAAATGGGTCATCATGGGTTGTGTTTGACATTTCAACATCCAAGAACGGAGTAGTCGTATTTGTATCCCAAGAAAACCGGGACTGAGAATACGCTGGTGCAGTAGCAGGTCCATTATCCATTAACCGAGAGACATCGGGAGAGAATTGCAGAGACGAAATTTGCAGTGGGGTCTGATTGAACACATTATTTTCTGTGAAGAAGCCGGCACTAGTAGGAGTAGTGATTCTGCCAGGGATAGTCGTCGTGGGAGTTGCCAGAGACCGACTTTGAGATTGATCCTTCCCTCTCTCAGAAGAATGCCTAGTTGGGGGTGGAGTCTGCATTTGAGTGCCCTCCATTGTATTTGGTAGTAATTTGCGGGGTGTTTTCGCTGGACCAGGAAGCGTGCTGGACTCCTGAAGTCCTGCTGCTGTCTCAGACGACGACAGCCGATGAGCCGGTTCAACTGGCGGTAAGGGCTCACCGTTGTGTGGGGAGAGATAGTTCACATGAAACTCCGGGTCATTCAGACGGGACGTACTCGGTCTTTTAGTAATTCTTTTTGGAGTAAACGGGGAGGCCTGGTTGAATGCTGATGCTTGCGTAAGAGTGGGGTGTACCTGTGCTCGTGGAGTTCCGAAGGCGTCCAAAAAGTATGTAGGAGCAGGTTCGCACTTTGGAGTTCGAGTGGATGTTTGACTGAATGTTGCAGATGTTGGAGTTGAGGATGGACTTGGAATATGCCAGTCTGAGTAGCTATGAACATAACTAAATTAGCAGGAAAATATGCGAAAGACATTGGAGGTAAATGTACTAGGTCAAGTTCTAGTCATGTATAAAACCACGGTTGCAACGGAGATTGCAGTGTTTGTGATAGTGCCTTAAAGATGTCCAGTTTTGAAGAGTCGACCCAGAGATATAGAAAGGTGCGAAATGAATTGATGTTCCACGCATCGACGAGATTTCTTATGAAAAGTATCATACCCATACATAGACTGATCCAAATTCATAGCAACTGTGAAGCCACACCCCTCTCAATTATTCTCAATGTTCGGGACTTGAGACTCTCCCTGGAATGAAGTTCGAAGAACAGAAGAACCCCGTGGTATATGAGTCAATAGCCCTCTTGACAGGTGCTGACTTCTAACTCGGATATAACCAGATTGTACATGTCAATTGCCCAGAGCTTTGGGGATAGGGGAGATCCTATCAAAGCTTCTTAGAGGGTTCGTGGAGGTCTCGAAATTAGGTACGATGATACTGGTGATAGTAGTCAAGATCTAGATGGATTGCACAGAGATTAGAACATTATATCAGAATATATCTTTAGGATTAAGACGACAATTTCTTGAATAGAGAAAGCTTTGGGGTTGGAGTGAGGTTCTACTTATGAGATAGCACAGAGGATTCCTTACAGCTCAAAGTTGCGAACTTCAGCCTAGACAATATGCCGAAGGGAGTAACACCCACTCTGATGCCTGGTCTGATTCAGCAATTAAGAATTATCGCAGCCGTAGAGGCAGTCAGCAATCACTTGCGCTGCACTGTGGGTTGAAGACACATATTGGCGAGGACGGGCAGAATGGGCAAGTTCATTGAGATGGTAATTGCAAGGAAGGCTAGTATCAAAAGTACAGAGCCGTAAGCTGGCGTCGGCGGACTTAGCCAGTTACGGGGAGCGCCGGTGGGTATTATGCTATGCTTAGCATATGTACCTGAGGAGCGTATGAATATGAAATATGCTTGCAAAATAATGTAAATGGCACAGTTGAATAAAAAGGGCTTTGGGCTGGAAAGGGAGGACCGAATCCAGTCAAATCCACTGGACTCGCTTGGAATTTGATGACATGAACCGAACCTTTTTCACATTATTATTGTGCTCCGCTTCCCCTTGCCGATTTACGCCAGGAACCCAGCATTAGTATTATCTCCTTGTGTTGGCATCTGGCATTCTGGCGCAACGGAAAATGGCAAGAAAAAGATCAGCCCTCATCAGGCTCAACTTCTTCTTTCAGGCCTGGATATAATTAGGCTTCCAATTTGCGGGATGATCGTTCCTGAACAGCACGCAAGCAAGATGCTTCGATGCTAACAAATGACAATCTGATGGCGCTAGCATGCCAGTCTTGGTTCGTCATGCAACTCCTGAACGCCATCTTAAAGATGCTGGAACTGCGATACCGAACATCACTGGCTCGACTGGACAATCGTCCGCTTAACAAGCGGCTTGAACCTCAATGGCGACCTGAACAGTAGGAGGAAGCAACTTGACTTTGCTTCTGTTGGCCTGATTTATGGCTATTATGATGCCAGCGCATCCCGTCTTCTCTATCCCGTTCGTAAATCAGTCAATCAACTCACATACCTTCCCCCTAGATCGGTGTCGTCAATTTCGGACCAAAAAGTTGCTCCTGAATATATGGGCCGCTTGTGGTGAAGGAGAGCCAATCATCCACCCTTCACTATACAAACCTGAGAAGTGGACAAACTAACCGAGGGGAAGCTAGAAGATAGATCTTTCTCCATCGGCTGCAAGGACTTGGTGGAACTGTTC